AAAAATATATATATATATATGGGGGAGGGGGGTATACTCTGCCTCACATCTGGAAGGACTAGGAGTGAGATAACATTCCTCAGGCCCCTGCCACAGTGCAGAACGGGGGCACAGCAAATGCGGGCCTCCTCCATCCCTGCCCCCAGCCTGGCACAGGTGCCCGGGCCAATGAGGGCAGCGTCTCTCCTTGAACAATGGCACTGCTGTTGTTCCAGCCAGAGGAGGCAGACGTGAATGTGAGTCTTGAGACGGGAAGGGCAGGGCCGAGGCAGGAGAAGGGGCTGTGAAAAGTCGATGCCGGAGAAAGCCCCGCTCCTGGACAGGGGCCTTTTGGCCTGTTGGCCTCCTGAAAAGCTCTGTTATGGGGCAACCCGTAAGCGACGACCACCAGAGCCAAAGGGTAGAATTTCAGAGCCTTGATTAGCTGGCCAGCGACTGCAGTTACAGCACCACGCCGGAGCAGGGACCGAACTGCAGCCCCGACCAGATGTAGAAGCGAGCTTTTATTCACCAAAACCACAAAACGGTTGGCTAAACACACACAAAGTTCATCGCTCCATTTCTCAACACAGGTCACAGACTCATACCTTTGAAAGGCCACAGGTTACAGACTCTTACCCCCGAAAGGTTACAGACTCATACCTTAGAAAGGTTAGGCTCTTGCCCTAACCGGTTTGGCTCAGTGGATAGAGCGTCAGCCTGCGGACTGAAAGGTCCCAGGTTCGATTCCGGTCAAGGGCATGGACCGGGGTGGCGGGCACATCTCCAGTAGGGAGGTGTGCAGGAGGCAGCTGATCGATGTTTCTAACTCCCTATCTCTCTCCCTTCCTCTCTGTAAAAAATCAATAAAATATATTTTTTAAAAAAGAAAAAGAAAAAAAAGAAAGGTTAGGCTCTTCACCCCTGGCTAAACCATGACTGGCTTGTAAAAAATGTTAAGAGGGAGCTGTGGTCTTTGCCACAGAGCCAGAAACTGCGATGACCTAATTTAACTGTAACCTTCTATTGTTCCTAAGCCCTGGAGCATTTATTACAGCTCTGAGCGGCCCAGCTCTGAGGAGAGACCTCCTTGAAAGTGGTGTTATGCACTTAATTGTTTCCGCCCCCCCCCGCCCCCAAATTCATATGTCACAGTCCTCTCCCCTAGTTCGTCAGAATGTGACTTGTGTTTGGAGGCAGGTGAAAGGTTCGGAGTGAGCCGGGGTCATGCCCCTGTGACATGCGGCCATGATCAAAAGAGATTTTATTTTATTTTTGTTCATCCTCACCCGAGGATATTTTTCCATTGGTTTTTAGAGAGAGTGGAAGAGAGAGGGAGAGACAGAGAGAAACATCGATGTGAGAGAAACACATCGATGGGTTGCCTCTTGCCCCAACCAAGGCCCAGGCCGGGGAGCAGCCTGCAACCGAGGTACGTGCCCTTGACTGGAATTGAACCCGGGACCCTTCGGTCTGCAGGCCGAGGCTCTATCCCCTGAGCCAAACGAGATTTCTATTTCACGCACCTGGGTGCAGGTGGGCCGAGTCTGAGGAAGGAATCGGCGGAGAATGCAGGGAGAGAGAGGTTTTTATTAATCCTGGCTGGCTTGCAAGCTGTTCTGCTGACATAAGGGTCCAGTCGTCCCTGGTTCCTCCCCGTGCCAGGTGTCTGGTGGTTATCTGGCCTACGCCGTGCTCAAGGTTGCGAGCCTTCTGCATGGTATCTGCTAAGCACAGTAAGTTTTCTCTCCCCGTTTTATTCTCTTTAACCCAGTGGTTCTCAACCTTCCTCATGCCGCGACCCTTTCATACAGTTCCTCATGATGTGGTGACCAATTTCATTGTTACAAATTGAACATAATGAAAGCATAGTGATTCTCAATGTCTCCCTCCCTCTCATTCTCTCTTTCCTTTCCTCTTTCTCTCTCTCAAAAATATATAAAAAATTTTAAAAAGCATATCGCCCAGCCAGCGTGGCTCAGTGGTTGAGCATCAACCTATGACCCACAGGGTCACAGTTTGATTCCCGATCAGGGCACATGCCCGGGTTGCGGGCTCGATCCTCAGTGAGGGGTGTGCAGGAGGCAGCCGATCCATGATTCTCTCTCATCACTGATGTTTCTCTCTCTCTCCCTCTCCCTTCCTCTCTGAAATCAATTTTTAAAAAGAAGTGGTCGACTGGACCCAGAGCAGGCTCCTACCACAGCACAAGCTGCCTAGAAGGGGGTCGGCGTATCTAGTCTTGTCTCCCCCACTCAGCCTAACCAGCTACCTTTCCCCACTGGCTGTGGAGGTGACAGCTCCCTCGCCAGGCCCCGCGGGGCTATAGGACAGGGTGGCAGGTCTGGATTCCCCCAAGCTGCCATTGCATCGGGAATCACCTTTAAAATCTCTCTGTGCCTCCTGCAAGCCTTCCTCTGGGTGTGAGCTCCCGGAGCCGCCTGGGAGGAGGGAGAGGGCAGGGAGAGGGGAAGGGGGGGGGGCTGGCCCACATCCCACCCCCAAAGCCCGGCTTCCACATGGCTGGGCAAGAACTCCGGGCAGACCACACAAAGGAGGGCTTTGAGGTGACTCCAGCCAGGCCGGGCCGCCCCCCTCACCCCCCTGGTGCTGTGCGTGCCCCAATCTGGGCCTCCCGTGAGCCTGATATAACAGGAAATCATGGGCCCTGAGCAGTTCCTTGTGACATTCTAATCCCAGCCTGCTGACGGGACCACGCCCCCGGCGGAGGCGACCGCCAGGGCTCCCCCAGGACACAGCCACCAACAAGGTGGCCCCAAGAGGAGCTGCTGGCCGGGCAGGTAAGTCAGCCAGGGGCCCAGCTGGGCAGGGGGAGTCCAGGATTACTGTGGAGTCAGGGATGGGGGGGCGGTTGGGTGTGAGGCTGAGCCAGACGGGCCTGTTGGCAGACTTAGCACAGAAGTATCAATGAAATGTGAATGTGAATTTAAATAAGGAATTTCAGCCGAAGGACAACAAATGCCCCAGGTGACTGTGATGCGTGGGAAAGTTTGAGATCCGCTGTTCTGAGACCAGATCTGCAATTTCTCCATCCCCTGCTGCCCCGACCCCCTCTCCCAGGACAGAGGCCCAGGACGCAGGCTCCTAGAGGCAGCATGTCAGGGGGGGTGAGTACCCCTGCGCCCTGGGGCTCCCCTCCACCCACCTTCCCCCCGCCCAGGCCCCTCCCTGCGTCTCCACACCTGGTCTGCCCACAGTCATGGGCGTTCTCCCCTACAACCTCTCTGTGGCCCTGGACGCCGCCCACAGCCCACAGCGAGGAGGCTTACCAGCCCCCTTGGGCCGGAGCCCTAGGGTAGGGTCCCCGCCGGCCATGGGCTCGGCTGGCTCAGGCTGATGGGAACCTGTCACTGCTTTTTCCTGACGCCTGCAGGCCGGCACCTTCCGAGAGGTCCCCGAAGAGGAACAGCAGCTGCGTGCCCAGCTGGAGCGGCTCACGCCCAAGGACCACGGGCCTGTCTTTGGCCAGTGCAGCGAGCTGCCCCCACACACCTTGCAGAAGGTGAGGTGGCCCCGGGTGTGGGGGAAGCAGCAGGGGGGGATGTTGATGGCCTCCTCCCTGCTGGAGGCAGCGTCCTGCCCCGGCTCTCCGGGTTGTCCTGAACCTCATGGGCTGGCCTGTGCTAGGGGCCCTCCTGGAGGTCATCAGCCGGCCTCTCCATGTCTACAGCCCCCAGGGTCCCTGAGACCAATGCAGGACCTGGGGCCTCCGGCCAGGGATAGTCCTAGACTCTGATATTAGTGACTTTTTTAAAAAAATCATTTTTACTGACTTCAAAGAGGAAGGGAGAAGTAGAGAAATAGAAACATCAATGATGAGAGAGAATTGTTGATCGGCTGCCTCCTGCACGCCCCCTCCTGGGGATCGAGCCTGCAACCTGGGCATGTGCCCTTGACTGGAATCGAACCCAGGACCCTTCAGTCCACAGGCCGATGCTCTAGCCCCTGAGCCAAACCAGTCAGGGATGGGGCTATTTTTAAAAAAATAATTTTTTTTGATTGATTTCAAAGAGGAAGGGAGAGGGAGAGAGAGAGAGAAGCATCAATGATGAGAATCATGGACCGACGGCCTCCTGCATGCCCCCTGCTGGGCATCGAGCCTGCAACCCGGGCATGTGCCCTGACCGGGAATCGAACCGTGACCTCCTGGTTCATAGGTGAAAAACACAGTGTCCTTCGAGGACTGGGCAGAGGGCTAACCAGGGTTCCCCTAAGTGCAGGCTGTTCCGCTGACAGACATTCAGACCTTTGGCTACGTCCTGCCAACAAGCCGGGCTGGGCAGATGGACAGATGGACCTAATGTTCTCCCAACACAACCAGGTGGCCCCAGCGCTGCCTGATGCTGCCCTGTGGGTGGAGCAGCGAGGGCCCAGCTGCTGCCCCTGGGAGGTCTTACTCACCCTGTGTGCAGGTCTCACCCTGTGTGCGGGTCTCACTCACCCTGTGTGCGGGTCTCACCCTGTGTGCGGGTCTCACCCGGTGTGCGGGTCTCACCCTGTGTGCGGGTCTCCGCACTCACCGTGGGCAGGTCTCACCCTGTGTGTGGGTCTCACCCTGTGTGCAGGTCTCACCTTGTATGCAGGTCTCACCCTGTGTGCAGGTCTCACCCACCCTGCAGGTCTCACCCTGTGTGCAGGTCTCACCCTGTGTGCAGGGGTCTCCCCGTGTGCGGGGCTCACCCTGTGTGCGGGGCTCACCCTGTGTGCAGGGCTCACCCGGAGTGCAGGTCTCACCCTGTGTGCGGGTCTCACTCACCCTGTGTGCAGGTCTCACTCACCCTGTGTGTAGGTGTCACCCTGTATGCAGGTCTCACCCTGTGTGCAGGTCTCTCTCACCCTGTGTGCGGGTCTCACTCACCCTGTGTGCGGGTCTCACCCTGTGTGCAGGGCTCACCCTGTGTGCAGGTCTCACCCAGTGTGCAGGTCTCACCCTGTGTGCAGGTCTCACCCTGTGTGCAGGTCTCACCCTGTGTGCAGGTCTCACCCTGTGTGCAGGTCTCACCCTGTGTGCAGGTCTCACCCTGTGTGCAGGTCTCACCCTGTGTGCAGGTCTCACCCTGTGTGCAGGTCTCACCCTGTGTGCAGGTCTCACCCTGTGTGCAGGTCTCACCCTGTGTGCAGGTCTCACCCTGTGTGCAGGTCTCACCCTGTGTGCAGGTCTCACCCTGTGTGCAGGTCTCACCCTGTGTGCAGGTCTCACCCTGTGTGCAGGTCTCACCCTGTGTGCAGGTCTCACCCTGTGTGCAGGTCTCACCCTGTGTGCAGGTCTCACCCTGTGTGCAGGTCTCACCCTGTGTGCAGGTCTCACCCTGTGTGCAGGTCTCACCCTGTGTGCAGGTCTCACCCTGTGTGCAGGTCTCACCCTGTGTGCAGGTCTCACCCTGTGTGCAGGTCTCACCCTGTGTGCAGGTCTCACCCTGTGTGCAGGTCTCACCCTGTGTGCAGGTCTCACCCTGTGTGCAGGTCTCACCCTGTGTGCAGGTCTCACCCTGTGTGCAGGTCTCACCCTGTGTGCAGGTCTCACCCTGTGTGCAGGTCTCACCCTGTGTGCAGGTCTCACCCTGTGTGCAGGTCTCACCCTGTGTGCAGGTCTCACCCTGTGTGCAGGTCTCACCCTGTGTGCAGGTCTCACCCTGTGTGCAGGTCTCACCCTGTGTGCAGGTCTCACCCTGTGTGCAGGTCTCACCCTGTGTGCAGGTCTCACCCTGTGTGCAGGTCTCACCCTGTGTGCAGGTCTCACCCTGTGTGCAGGTCTCACCCTGTGTGCAGGTCTCACCCTGTGTGCAGGTCTCACCCTGTGTGCAGGTCTCACCCTGTGTGCAGGTCTCACCCTGTGTGCAGGTCTCACCCTGTGTGCAGGTCTCACCCTGTGTGCAGGTCTCACCCTGTGTGCAGGTCTCACCCTGTGTGCAGGTCTCACCCTGTGTGCAGGTCTCACCCTGTGTGCAGGTCTCACCCTGTGTGCAGGTCTCACCCTGTGTGCAGGTCTCACCCTGTGTGCAGGTCTCACCCTGTGTGCAGGTCTCACCCTGTGTGCAGGTCTCACCCTGTGTGCAGGTCTCACCCTGTGTGCAGGTCTGCGGTGGCCGAGAAGGTGCGGGGCAGGGACCGCGCTTTCTTCCTGCGCTTCATCCGAGCCCGCAAGTTCCACGTGGGGCGCGCCTACCAGCTGCTCAGAGGTGAGGCCACGCTGGGAAGCTGGGGGGAGGAGAGGAGGGGAGGAGGGTGGGGATGACCCTCACGCAGCCACAGCTCACACCGACCCCTCTGCGTCCCTCCAATTCCCTGCCCGGCGAGTCTCTGAGCCGCCCTATCTTTCCCCCTAAAACTGTCAGATATGGGCGATCCCGCTCAGCTGTGACAATGAATGAATGAATGAGTGAATGAATGAATGAGTGAATGAATGAATGAGTGAATGAATGAATGAATGAATGGGGCAGGACCAGATTCCTAGAGATCTGGTTCCTCTCCTCTCTCTCAGTCTTAGGACTCAATGAGTAGAACCGTGTTAACGTAAAAACCATCAAACCTGTAGAGAATTTTTGTGACTTTATTGGAGCCAAACTGTGGACATATTCAGGGAAGCAGAACCTCAATGGATTGAGATAGTGCTCCGGAGAATGGCGGGTGACATCTGTATTTATACATGGCAATCGAAGGAAGGGACGTAGGTGGGTTACAGGAAATCCACTGGTGATAGACTAGAGAGGCGGGAGAAAGGAAAGCAGGGAAACCCCTGGGATTGGATAAAAAGTGAAATGATAGCCACATACTCAGGTGGGTGCAGGATCAATTCACATGATAATGAAGGAATTGGGGTATCTGTCCTGGCGCTGAGCACATTTGGTTGTGCCCCAGGGGCTGCAGAAAAAGGAAAGTTATAAGTTACCCAGACATTTCAAGGATGTGTTATTATAGATGCAAAGAGACACATAGGCTCAGTTAAGGTAAAGGTTGACCTTGTCAGTGAAGATACCGGCCTATGACGTAACTGCCCACCATAACTGCTTTTAGTTTCCAATTTGGGGTG